CTTGGATGAATACCATTTATAAACCATAAAATGGTTGAGGATAGGAGGTTTTGAAGCTTAAGAATAGAGGATTCAAGGGAAGAAGCGTGGGAAGGAAACCAATGTAGTGTCATCAGCGTATTGGAGGACATAAAGGTTGGGATCGAAGGTATTAGGATCGGGGCTATACATATCACTACAAAAAAGGTTATATAACAGAGGAGACAGATGATGCTGATTAGGTAAGTTGAGAGATTTAGAAGGAAAAGTTTATGCCAGACAAAGTCGAACGCCTTGGACACGTCAATGAACAAAGCGCTCAAGTGGTCGTCCTCGAGGTGAGAGGTCTGGAAGTAGAAGGATAGTAGACTTTCCAGCTCGAGAATTATCTAAGTACGAGAGGATTTTATTTTTAATGAGTGATTCGACATATTTGCCGATGATAAGGAGTGTTTTTGGACGGTAACCCTAAGGGAGAGAAAGGTCACTATTACTTTTGGGAATACAAACAATTATACCAGACTTCCACTTGCAAGGGATGTATTAATGGATGAGACAGAAGTTAAAGATTTTAACAATAAACGAGTGGACATCTGGATCAAGGAGTTTTAAAATTTTCCTATTAAGAAGGTATGGAATACTAAATTGATGGTAAAATTAGTTTTTATGCGGCAGACACAACATTGAGTGAAATGTTGAAGAGTGTGGACAGCTGGAATATTGTAGCGGCGTACATATTAGAGTTGCTATTAAGCAAAGAAGACGAACGGAGGCTGCAGTGGAGGCCAGCATTAACATGATGTAGGGGAAGTGCCAGAGAGGCAAAGACAATCAGCATCGCAGAGTAGTATAGTATTACAGGACTTTATACTGACGAAGAAGGGGAGAGGTTTTAGTGTAAGGTTTCCTCTCTGAAAAAAATAAAAAATACACAACATTGATCTTAAAACTGTTTAATATATAATCAACATTTATATTTGTCAGTTCGATGAAAATGCACGCTCAGTGTAGAGTCTACTACACTGTAGACAGTGGCACAGTAAAATATGAACGGTTATTTTTTTCGTTAACATTAAGTACAACAGACATTTAACGTTGTATAACCGGCACACAAAAATCATCATATATTAAACCGATCTACTTATTGAATAATTAAAGCTAAGTAGTATAAAAATAACATTTACATTTCCTAAAGTATTTGCGAAATAAACTCTTCTTCGTGTAACATACATATTTAACGGTAACTATTTTCTTTCTAAAATTTAAAATCTTGTAACAACATTAATAAACAATCAAATAAAATTACGTTGTGTCCAATTGGTATTACGCAAGTTTCTTTTGCGTATTGCAAATGGAAGAACGGTCCTAATTAATAACAATAGTATGCATCCGTATGAAGAGATCGTATTTCTGAAATAAATACATCTTAATGTCGTATTTAGTAGTAGTAGTATTGTCGTAAAGAGGTTGTGGGGGGAAACTTAAGATAAAATCACGTGATATGTAAATAAATCATATCGTTATCCTGTTTGCATTTAAGCTTTCAAATTCTTGATCCGTTTAATTATCTCCCTGCGGGTGAATTCGTTTCTCGGCATGTACGGTGCACCGAAGTAACTGCCCATGTCTTCCGTGTACTCGATTAACTCGCTCCAGCAGCGCCTGTCGTATCCAAGAACGGTGGGATTTCCGACGATGATGAGTTTGGATTTCGCCCTGGTGATGGCAACGTTGAAGCGACGCTCGTTGTTCACGAAACCCAGCTTGTATTTGGAGTCGAACTTCAATAGGGAATGTTGAGCTCGAACCGTCGATATGATGATGATCCTCTTCTCGGATCCTTGGAAGGTCTCGGTTGTGCCCACCTCGACGCCCTTAATTTCGCAATTCTCTAGAGCCATACGGATCTTGTGCACTTGTCGAATGTAAGGTGATATGATTCCGATGTCGCTCGGTTTGATATCGAATTGATCCTTCAACGTCGTCAGCAAACACTTGACGTACTTCACGACCATGTATTTCTCCGCCGAATTGAAGTAACTCGGCGAGCTGCCGTTCCGTTCCTCCTTCGAGGATACTCCGCAAAATTCCACCGAAGACGGTTTCCAGCGGTTGCCGGAATTACAGCACACACGCGCAGACACGCAGTAAGAACTTAACTGGTCTGCGGTAATTGGCATAGGCTAAAACAAAGATATTAGAATCATTTAACTTACTGCTACAACATATAGATCGAACGAACCTGCAGGGAATTGCCGTAGAAGAGTTTGTTTGGAATGTGGATGATATCACTGTGCGATCTGTAGTTCTGCAACAACATGGTGAGGAACCGCTCGTTATACCTCAGCGTGGGTCTCTTCCTCAAAGGCATATACAATGGGTTTTCTTTCATTAAACGATCCATTAAAGAAACAGCCAGGCCATAGCGGTTTGCCACTTGCGAGGATACCACAGGTCCCAACTGTTTAGGATCTCCAGCGAGCACCACTTGCGAAACGCCCTGCAGAATTCCGATGGGAATGCAGGTCTCCGGTTCTGTGGCTTGAGCGGCCTCATCGATGAACAGATGATCAGGATTGTACCCCACCTTAAATCTGAGCGGATTTTTAAAAATAACACAACCGATTACAAAGCGCGCAAATACATACTTTCCAATTAAATGTAGAGTGGACACTACAATGTTGTATTTCATCAAGTCCTTACTTGTGACCATCGTGAAAGTATCGTCAATCATATTACTGTAATTGCGTACAGTCTCGTCGATCGTATTCCTGCAAAATTACAATTAATAATATTGCTAAATTAAATGAGTGCAGGCACATACCCTGGTCGACTATTAGTTGATTGGACACGGTACAATTCTTTGGTGGAGCAGAAATTTGCTAACTTCATTGTCAGCATGTCGCAAGCGCGATTCGACGAGGCGCAAACCAAGATCTTTCTCTTCGGATACTTTCGTGTTATCTGAAACAAATCCGTCTTTAATATTTGAATAATAATAATAATGCGTGATAGCCTTACTTGTAAAATAGCCTCAACTATGGTCACAGTTTTGCCGGTTCCTGGTGGACCGTATATAATGTACGGAGCTATACCTGAACTACCAGCCAGAATGTTCTCGACGGCGCATCTCTGCTCATGATTACTACCAATTATATCCTTTTGAAATAATCTTGAAAATAAAGAGTATTCACGTTATTCAACATGAAATAATAACAAATATCAATTTTCTTACAGATCTCTGGAAAGCCTCGGTATAGTCGTCGTATTATTATTCGCACCTGGAATCATTGGAAACTCTATGTCCATTTTAATCGCATCTTTAATCACTGGAAACAAGATGTCCATTTTATTTGCACAATTGTGCACGGCGTTATGCATCCTCTCGTAAAGTAAACGACTCAACGTGAACGATACGTCCAGTTCAATATTATCATGTTTCTTGATGAAGTCAACGAACCTAAAACAAACAAAAAATACCAATGCAATGTTCTCTGATGTCCAAGACAGATTTCGTATTATTCTTACGCATGGTGAACGTGGTCGATTATCACTGTTTGATCGTTCACGTTCGCGACCATCCCGCTGAAAACTTTGTGATCATTGTGTAGCCGGATTTTGATGATATCCCCGACGATCACCGACGGTCTCTTCTCTGCCAGTCCCGGAATCTCAAGTATCAGTAAGTGTTTTTTCGCCACCATCGTCACGTTGGACATGTTGTAATGCATCAGTCCTAAAGCGGATGCCGTCTCGTCCAACCACAGCAGATAGTGGAAGTAATTCCGATAATTTTCCCTGCTCAATCTATTCAACACCTGAACAATATCACACCTATCCAGTTCCTCTTTGGTTGTGAGATTTCCGCTCTGAACGAGTCCATGTTTTAAAATCTTCTCTATGTCTTCGGGAATACAATAAACTGAGCTAATGCTATCAAGGCAAAAAAAAAAATTAAAAAAAATTATACAAAACCATTTGATTTTTGAAGATGTTAAGATGATGTTTATCAATTACGAAAGTTGGTGAAATAGTGCGAAAAATTGCAAGCAAAAAAAACATATGTTGCATACTAACTTTGAACTTTTTAAAGATGGTATTTCTTTGTCAATATTTGACCACTGGATGGATTGGAACGATTTGGATGTGGTGTCATCCTCTTGAGCTTCCTCGTTTATATAAATTACCTGAAGCAGTAATAAAGAAAGTTGTAAAGAAAAGGCTAAGAATAATTAATAAAAAAATTACAATTTCCCTGTAGATATCGAAATCACATACGCCTTCCTGGTGCGTATTTATAGTAAACTTGATGGGCATTTTAAAACTACCCACATCAATGTCCTCCTCACTGATTGTGACTGTGCTGGAGCGAGTCTCACCTAGAACATGTAATCATGATCACCGTAATAACAAAAACAATTAAATTACAAACTTACCCTTTGGTAGAATCAATATATTGTGGCCAGACTTTTCTTCCACTGAGAAATACCTATGCGGATGCAGCATAGTCACCACATACTCACTATCACAACCAGAACTATTATTCAGTTTGAATAAAAACTTCAAAGTCTTTGAGCGTAAGTTGAATCTCTCTGGCGTGAGCTACAAATATATGTGTTAAATAACTTAATACAAAAACAGAGTGTTGATCATTCAAATTACTTTAACTGTGAACCTTCCCTTTCTGCCATCGTAGCTTGTTGTCTCTTTCTCCCCAAGAAGACTGCATGTTATATTGAATCCATGACGATCCTTGACAAGAGGTTTCCTGTACATTTCAAAATTTGAAATTTAGAAATCCTAGTAATTAGTAGAGGGTGATGTATACGTACTTGTACTTGTGGAATGACTTTAGTGTAAAGTTAAATGCATGTTGTACACTTTGTTTGTGCACCTCGAAATGTACCTCATCATATTTGCCACAGCAACTGCAAATCTGCAACATAACCAATGTTACAAAAACAATACTATAGAATTGTTAAAAATTATAACTTACTTTAACGTTTCCTTCATTCCTCGTCGTCATGATGTTATAGTATAAAACAATATTGTTAACTAGTCAGATATCAAAATTTTAGGTACGAGGTTGACATCCACGGGGATTCCCCTAATAATATATATATGCAATTTGGAGATAGCCTATTTCCCAGCAACAGGAGAATCCGGATATTTGAAATGGAATATGCACTTTGTTAATTATCTATCGACTTAAACGTTGGAACCTGATTCTTTGCACCGACTGGTACTGCGCCTTGGACGATCACCAACTGAATAATGTCCAAATTGATAACATTGGCAAAGGCAAAAAAAAACCATTAACAAGAAATCCTTGAAAAAATCATGGTGACCACCATTGACCACGAAAGTTCGTTTCTGTTCGGTTGGTGGTATACATTCAGAAGCCGGAAATAATATAAACTTTTTCAATTTTATGAAGAAACTGTATAATTACGTGAATATTGTTATATCCACTTAATTATATTAAACTAATTATACGACCAGATGGTTTGAACTTTATCCATCACTATTGAATAGATAATTAGTTTATCATTGATATTATGATATCTACTCATTATCGCAAAAATGATTTTTAATATAATATCATTATTAACATGATTAAACAACTGTAATTATCGAATTAAGTTTGAGCGATTTTGTTTTTCGAGATGGATTAGTGGTAATGATATATACTTATAATAAGGATTCACTAATTTTAATTTTCTTTTTGCCAGGATCGTTTCAACATAACTAATAAATAAAACATGATACCTAAAGTGTAAACATCGCTTCAAGTTTATCATTTATTTGTATATTGTATCCAATTTACAAAATAAATTAATTTACATTGCATAATTGGTTGCATATATTGTTGTTATACAGTGCAACCGCAAATTTGAAAATCGAGTGGCGCCATCTTCATTTACTTTACTTTTATTTTGTTTCCTTTAGGTTGGTATGATTACATAACAATTTTTCTTTGAATGGGGGGAGTAGAATCGGATGAATTCGGAACTGTTCGTATACTTTTCAAATGTATGTTTACTAATACTTCCCGGAAGGTCTAAGTACCCTTATCAGACCTTCCCGGAATACCAGGTTAGGGTATATAAGGTTAGGGTATATAAGGTTAGGGTATCTTGTGTATTATCTCGTGAGCCTAGGAAACAATATACTGTACCCTTTGTATCCTATGTATCATACTGTATAGTAACTAGCCATGATTTAGTCTAATTAACATTAAACTACGAGCATCTCCAAATTATGTTTTTTTTTGTTTTGGACGAATCAGGTGCATATAAATAAATGGGCTCAATTGTTTTGTTATTTTTATGAAATAAAATCTTATCAAGAGTTATAACAAGATATTTTTTTTTTAATATATATATAATATATGCAAGTATATATAAGTATAAGTAATAAAAACAATAATTTGTACTAAAAATTAACAAACATTATATAATAGATTTCATTTATATGTATATATATATATATTTTCTTTTAAGTAACATCAATTATATTTATATATTGTTTTCTTTGTTGTTTTATTTCCATGGAGAGCACAAAATAAAAAATCTACTTATATCATATCAATTAGTTGTTCCTGCTGTTACAAACATTCAAAGATATGTACACAAGTATAACTGAGATGTATGTATTTATAAAGAGAGAGAGAGAGAGTAAGAGGGGTATATGTATAGTATATATATTTATAATAATAATAACGTGAAAGGGGTTTATATTCATATCGTGGAATAATAACAAAGAAATAAGTAGGATAGACTTCAAGTAAAATCGCGTACTAGTTGATATAACGAAATAATTAGAACAGATTGACTTTTATATACAGGGTTATTGGATAATTGGGTCATGTACTAAACAGGTTGTGGTCAATTTCGAAAGAAAATCTTCTCCGACTAAATTTGATATGGTAAGACGACTTCGACGTTAAGTTTTCCTCGTCCTGTTAGTTGTTGTACACCATTCTCTTGTTGCGGTCGTTATATGTTAAAATTCCTCAATTCCGTGATTTCATTTTATATAAATTATTATTTTTTTTTTTATATTTTTTTATATATATATATAAAAAAGAGAAGATCCACTAAAACTGGATCCATCATATACATAGAAATGAAACGGAATAGTAGTGTTCAATAAAAAACACGCTTACACACGCACAAACACACAAAAATTACTAACGTGACTAGATTTTGTTGCAGTTGTTTGTTTCGAAACAAAAAAAAAACAAAACAAACACATAGAATAAAATAAATCGAGTGAAGATATCTTAGTATTCGGCATTTAGTCATGACTTCCATTCTTTGAGCTTCCGCAGGGAGACCTTCTTGAGACGCGAAACGGTTGCCATCAGATCGGATTCTTTGGCTTCCTCGTCGCTCAAAGTCTCGCCTTCGGAGTGGACTTCCCTGCTCGAAGTCTGGTGCATCTTCTGCTGCACCGTCGATACCGTCTCCTTCTCTGAATTAACTTTACCGCGGATCATGCCTTTACGGCTCTCCTTGCATCTCGCCGATGTTACGGTCGGATCGCTGAGCGCAACCGAAACCGGAACTTTGATGCTGCTGCTGGCCACGTTGCGAGCGACGTTGAAGCTCCTGCTGATCCTGTCCAACGTGGCCAGACGTAGGGACGACGTTATGCGATTTTTGCGTAACGTCGTTGGCGTTGCGTTCGCCCTTTCCTGCATGATGAAACGCCCGATGGTTTGCCAATGGGATTGTGCACTGTAAACGTTTTCATCATCGCAGAGAGCGCGAAATTGCAAATTGTGACTAGTTCCACCCCATTCCAGTTCCTCGACGATGACGAAATTCACTGGGTCTTCCATGCGGCGCGCCTTCAGCAGAGCTTGCGCCAGAACGTCCTGAGCGCAAGCGTTCAAAGGAACCTTCAATATTGCGTACGGTATCTCCGGGGAAACGTTGTAGATGCATACGAGGAAGGTGTCGTTCTCCTCCCAGGCGTTGCTCGGAGCTCCGTCGGATTTGCGAGCTTCCCTGTTCGCCACGCTTCTGATAGAGCTCAACCAGGCTCTGCTGCTGGGATCGTCGCCCATTTTCTTCAAGATGAAACGACCTTCACCTTTCCATTGGGATTGCGCTTGAAGCGGTCTCTCCTGCAAGTCAAGCACTCGCTGCGTGGCCGGTAGATTGTGGTCCTTCTTCTCCCAACCTCTGGCCACCTCCTCCACAAGAATATAGTCGTTCAATTTATCTGCAGGTTGATTGGCCTTTTGCAATGCTAACAGCAGCACGTCCTGCGTGGTGCTCTCTTGGGTAATCTTGAGGATGGTGTAAGGTTCTTCGCTGACGACTCCGTACACCATCAAAAAGAACATGCGACGCTTAACGCAGAGTGGAGTTCCGCTTATACCCAAATAAGTGCTGTCCAAGCTCTTATCGGATTGGTCCTTCTCCTGGTTACGATCCGGGTCTCGGTTCTCCAAGCTTTCCTCCTCGACGCGCGAATATATGAAGAGCGTCGACATGTTCAAAGTCTTGTTCTGGGGGTTTCGTAGTCGCAAATGCCTGTAGCCAGGTCTCAGGCATTTCAATGGCAGAATCCTTTGGGCGAGAAGATGGTTACTGGTTGCGTCCATCACGCTGAAACGCAGGAAAGCCAAATCGTGGAACATGACGCGAAAGTGGAAAGTGTCGTTCCAGATCGGATTCAGCGCGTTCTTTTGGATGATCTTCGTTTTCTGCTTGCTGCAATCCACCGGGATGCCAATGATCTCGATCTCCACGTAAGTGCTCAGATTCACGTTGCTCTGGCACACGTACTGACCGGAGACGACGTTAATGATGATCTGGCACGAATGCAGTCCATCGAACTCTTTGTCCCACGGATTGAAACGTCTGTACATGACGTGCGACCTATCCCACATAACGCTCGGTTTGCTCACAAAGCCGCACCGACCATTAGTCTCGAACATCACATTGTTCAGCTGCATTGCGATGTCCTCGGTCTGGTAGTTCAAGGCGGCCATTTGGATACCGAATGACCAGAATATTACCGGATTGAAATTCGACGAATCTATCCGCATCCCCGCAGGATAAGTTCGCATGAGTTGTGTTTGCGTGTGAGCGACCAAAGCCAACGGTTGCTTCCTGCACAACTTTTTAGCGGTGTTCTCGTTTATCGAGGAGCACTGGTAACAGGGTGTATTGGTGTTCGTGGGTCGCTGCTTCTGCTGCACAGTTTCCGGTGTCTCGAAGACCGTCGCTTCCGATTCTTGCACCGTACTGCTAATATTCGATGCAGAACTGCTTGCGGTCGTTACAATCGAACTACCGGAACTCGACATGCAAGCCCTTTGTCGCTGCTTCACGGAACTGCTCGGACTCACGGTGTTCAATCCGCGGAACTTGATTGCCTATGANTCTTGAGCTTATCCTCGGGATTCGGACGTTTCGTCGAGCTCGTCTTCGCCACAGTGTGTATGGACATTTGCCTCGGCGAATCCGTCATTATGTGAAGAGATTTTTCTACGAATCATTTAAGTATTTAAATTTAAATCTAAATAAATATCTGTATAAATACCATCAATATTATCTTCATCATCTTCATCATCGTATTCATCGTCGCTGTAGTCATCGTTGAAGGAAGAACTGCTTGCATTGCTGATTATAGAACTCGTGCGTCCAGGAACGGAATGACGAACTCCCGAAGCAACTGGCCTATTCATTGCGAAAATTCAAAATTATACACAGCATATATAAAGTATTTAATTGCAATTCTACCTGACCGGTGTTGAGATCGCGGTGTAATTTATTATAGGGGTGGGCACGTCCATGATGAGTTTCTTGTTCTTAATCAAAATTCTGTATTTTAATTGTTGCGGTGACGGAAGCGCAGGATCTTCGCTGAAGTCCAGATCGAACAGGAAATTTGAAACTAGCTTCTCACCAAAAACTCGCTGCAAAAGTATAATTAATAAATTGATATTCTATATTGTAATTGTAATTACTTGAAACGTATGAGCCATTCGGGTCTGTTGTTGAAGAGAACAGTGATTTTCTATGGATAATATCACTGGGTAAGGAGATGTAACAAAGGCATTCCTGTCGATGGCTTCGACGACGGCATTGAAAGGGATTTTGGTGGTGAAGGTGTGTCCGTGGTAGATCATTGGGTAGCCGTCATCACCGTCGAAGCAATCCAGCTCCACGCAACGACAACCGGTCAGAAGAACCTACAAGGCGATTATTAAAAGAAAGCTCACAAATAGAGTTAATTGTGTTAATTAATTAATTACTTGACTATACAGTTCTACGGAAGATTCGCCCTTAAGCTGGTGACCTGTTAGATAAGTGTTGTGCGAAGAGCTTATGTAGTAGGTGGACAGCGGCCGCGACATGTCGACATCGTCTGGAACCTCGCGCTCATTCACGAACGCGTAATTGTCTTTATCCATGAGGTACCGAGCGAAGCCCTCGAAGGAAAGGCAGTTCTGAGATCGCAGAACCTGATCAGGTTCGTGTCTTTGTATTAGCTCTTTAACATCCTCCTCGGACCACACCTCCATCTGCCTCGTCTCGAGAAACTTGGTGAAAGTGGACATGGTAATCACTTGGGAATTGTTGGTGTCGATGCCCGCGCAATTCGTGAAGATGCTAGCAGCAGCAATGGCATCGTATATCTTCTTCTGCGTATTCACCACAATCCCCTCAAGTTCCGCTTTCGAGTTGCGAGTCAGCAGTCCCAACTTTTGCGGTTTCCTGGGCTTCTCAATTTTATTCTTGACGCCGTTCACGCGAACGTTCACCGCTGCCATGCTTCTGTACGAGATGGCCAGCTGCTCGAAGAGGTCCCTCAGGTCCTTACGAATCAGAAGACTGAAGGATCGGAAGAGCGTAACGAAATCGACGAAATCCAGCTGCGTGTCGTACAGGATCGAACCGACACGCGGATGACGTCCGTGCCACAGGTGCTCCGTGGATCCGTGTCTTTCCCGTTCAAATTTACCTTGCGTAACGTTCGCGAGATGACCGAGACTGTGGTGTCTCGCCACGTCCGGCTGATGCTCTGAGAAGGTCGTCGGTGTGGATTGCCGATGATGGTTCGGATTCCTCCAGTAGCTGCTCTCCATGCACATCGTCGGCGGTTCTACAAACTGACGCAAACTTTTATCCTGATGGAACAAAATTAAATTATTAAAATAAACAATTCGCACGTCAACGTAGAATAAAAACTTTTTCTATGGGTTTTAATATTGAAGGTTGGGGAGGGCAGGTCAATGTTTCCTTAAGGCCCGAGATGCGTCTCCTGGGAAATTTTGACTTTGTCTCGGAAGACGTGAAGAGAGATGATTTGAAATTCATGCGATTCATAGTAATAACGTCCACCAAAACTCTGCCGTGATTAAATTAACTTCTATTTCAATATTTAACGTAAGTTCATGTTAACATATCATTAGGAAGAATAGAATTTGTACAAGGAAAAAATCTATAAAGATTTAAATAAAAAAAATTACCTTGAAAGTCTGATTACTAATTAACTGTTTCTTCTTAATTTTCATGGATACTTCGCGTCTCAGACCGGATGTTTCGTTGGTTTGTCCGCTGCTTTGAGCCATCCCTGCTAAAGACCAGTCGCGTCCACCAAAAGACTGGAAAAATTGTTATTAATTCGAGTTTGCTTTAAAATTGGATGCAAATTAATGATCTTAGAGAAAAGTGATTTACCCTAATCGCGTCGGCTGCCAGAGGGCCGCAACAGTAGCCGTCTTCATGGTAAAGTTGCATGTATTGTTCTTTGAGCCAATGCAGTCGACGATCCGATAAAGTTTGCTGTCTGTTTAATCCGCGGATTAGCCAACAAAGTCCACTGTACCAAACCCTGTTCAATACATAATTAGATTGGGAATCAATTGATTTTCAATTATGTCCGACCTGCACATCGTTGGGGGACAGGCGATGTAGAGGATTCGATTGTCGCTGAGACCGTAGCCGTACAGAATGGTGAGGGCGCACTCGTTGCCCATCTCGTGGACGAGGCCGTACCTCTTGCAGACTGCAGCCAATTCGAAATCCTTCTCTGCATCTCTGCCACCTAGATGGACTTCCTTCACGGCCATTAAGTCCAGAAAACTTGAAAGAAATAGAGAAACGAAGAGGAAAATTAAGAAGAATCTGGAGGTAGCGGAATTTGTTGATAGCTAATACCCATCGTCGAGGGTGGTGCCGGTTGACTGCTCGCCGGATGCCTGAAGAGCCAGTTTGGTGAGAAGACCTGGGGCTAGGGTGTCCTCGGGGTTGTAGGAGAGGTTGAAGTCGGCGGAGAAGGGATCGGAGTCGGTTGTATTGGTGCCGGCTCGGAGGCCGCTCCAGCTTGGTCTCACCCAGGTCAGGGTGCTGCATGACCTGTCCAGGCGGACGTAGAGCAGAGAACCGCTTCGGACACCACCTGCAGCGGACGCCCCGACGGTCGGACCGTCTGCACCTTCCCACACCACCGCCGTACCACCATGGTGCAGAATCTGTGGGTGTGTGCGCGCATATCTAGGTCAAGGTCAAACCGAAAGGATGAAGATCTCAAGAGGCACCCACCTGCATGACGTGCTGATCGATCTTGGTCAGCGGCGACGAGAGACACACGTAACCGATGCTGTGATCGTGCACCAGAGGCTGCACAGGCTTATAATCCTCCACGTCCAACTCGTACTCTCCGTCCACCTCGTCCTTCTCCGGAGGAGTCGCCGCTAAAACGCGGTTTCCATTAAAACTCGTCGATCTGCAAAGAGAACATATTAATCTTTTCATTAGAAATCAGTTTAATTCCGTAAGTCACTTACTTGAGATATTCAATGAGGGTGAGTGTGGGTGATATGCGCGATCTCGAGTGGTAATGCATGTGGCACTGCGAGATGTGATCCATTACAGCCTGCGTTCGGTACACCTTGTCCACGTGCATCAGACCTCCGGGACCGAGCTTCGTGAAGTGATGATCCTCCCCGTTGTAGTCGGAGATCAACTGGAAGCGGAAACAAAGAGGAAACATTGAAAGTTTTAACAATTTCCGTGCACATCCTTCCATCTCACCTACCACTTGTCTATGCTGCTGATCCTGCTGGTCCCTTTCCTGACGAGCCCTCTGCTTGGACGTCTTCGCCGTCGGCGGCTTCTGCTGCGTCTGTCCGGATGCCGTACTCGCTGTCCCGTCTAGGTTGATAGGTGCTTGTGGGTTGGTCGTGGATGCTGAGGTCGAGGTGTTCAGGACGTCCGCGGGAGCAGTCGCAAGGATATCCCTCAGCTCCCTCAAGAACGCCCCGAAGAACGGCACCACCGGACACTCCTCCATACCAAGGGCACGGCTTAAGGCACGCTCGTACTCGACGGAGAGGAGCGCCGCCGACAGGAAATCGAGCACCGGAAGCGTCTCTTTCTCGGTGATCGATAACCAAAACGGTTTGAGCTTGTTCGACCTATGATCACAAAAGAAAACGTAAATAAACTTAATATTACATTACATAATCATAATACACAACATACATTTCAAAATTGAAAAAGAAATTAAACATTTCAAACTTTAAAAATCTAAAACAAAGCACGAAAAGCTCTTTTAGAAAGACAAAATAAAATTGATAAACCATTGTTATGTAATTTTCAGTATTAGAATCTATGTTCGATCAATTTTACTTATCTATTATTCGATTTATCACAATGAATATAACGGATTTATGGAATACAGAGGTGCAGAGCTACGTTAAACTCTGCTTCAGAAAGCGAAGACTGTGCGGATTGACAGGTTTAGCCGTCTTGGATAAGCTGCAAATAGAGATTTGTCGTGTCTCCCCCACGATATTCGCACAAAGCTTTTCATATAATAGTAAAAGAAAAAAAAATAGAAAAAGGAACAAGCTGCACAGCATATAATAAAACATCGATTTTCAACAAATTGAAGAATACAGAGCACGTTACGTAATTTGTATACAAAAAAAAATGTGTAATTCGAGTTGTTTTGATAGAATGTATACTAATTGGAGACAAACTTTTTATATTAAATTTGGCATGAACTAATATTGATGAAGTCAGAGAAAAAACAAATTTGCATGGAAATGTATAATTTGCAGCGAATATATTCGCGCCGTGTTTTTCATAAAACTGAAGTACAAAAAACATATATGTAATGATATAATTTTTGAATTTAAGTATTTTAAACCCTAAAGTTTATAAAATTGTAATGATTATGAAACAAATTCGTTAAAAAAGTATAGAAGCAAATCATGGAATTAACGCTTTGGTTTTGAATAAAATTAAACACTTCTTTATGTTCTACAAGTATTGAATAATGATAATAAAAGAGACAATGCAGCAAAGAAAGTAGTTATTTCTTGAATTATTTACTAATGAAGCAATCTTTTGAGATTGTCATTTAAGTTAACAAATCTCTATGTGATATAATATTCGGAAAAAGAGAATACATTTTTGTAGTGCAAAGATAAATAAAAAAAGTTTTGGAGTGCTTTTGGGAATCATCGATTTTCCATCGTTAAAAGATCAAAGAAAGTGCACTCTCAAGTAAGACGTTTCTGTTCAAGTGGATTTTTATATGAACACTATTGGGATGAATAAATTGTTGAGCGTCGATTCCTGATTGGGTGTCGCAGTTTGTTGTTGTGGATTCTCGTTGAAAGCGGCCCTCGGATGCAAGTAGTTTCCGCCGGCCTACAACCCTTAAAAACTGCTGGAGGCCGAAAGAAACCCCTGCTCCCGTCGGGCCGTATGTAGTTTCAGCCTCAATCACATTTGAATCTTTTTGTGCTACAGAAATAAATTGGAGCGCCCTAATGTATGCAAAGCAGCAGCAGCAGTAGAAGCACCACCAAAGAGATAAAAACCCTTTGAATCCGGTAGAGCAGAGAGAGGCGGTAGAAGCAACAACCACCACCACCACCTCCACCAGAATAAACTGAATAAAGCAACAATTCAGGTCCGAAAGCCTAGGGGGGGACTGATGAAATTGTTCATTGAACCGTGTATCGATCACTTTCAGCCGCCCCCCAAACTCTCGTACATACACACACATATACGCAAACAAACACAAGTATAAACCGTCTGAATAACATCACGGACAAAAAAAAAATGCAAATAACTAAAGCGCATTCCCTAGTCGCGATAAATTCCAAATAAAAGCATGAATTTTGTGAAACATTTAGTTGTTTTTTCTTTTTACTTGAGGCCTGCGATGATCTCCATGGCGCCGTTGAAGTTGCCGATGTTCCAGGAGCAGAGAGCCACCCGAAGGACGCACGAGAGGACGGCCCTTCTGGCATCGTGCGTCGGTTGCGATATGATCAGCTGGGTCACCCACGCGCTCACCTAAAAACGATCGAACAGAACAAAAAGACATAGAGACAATTAGATTTGTGCGGACAAGTGAAATATGAACCCTTATTTAACACTGTAAACCTGTTTTATTTAATCTAAAAAATGATAATTCAAATGATAACATTACTTCGTTAAGATATGCTTTAAAAGAAATCCAAAGAACAAGGGTCATCCAGGTAACAAAAGGGCTAAACCAAAGGGCAATTACAGACTGAAGTCGTAATCAATAGTAATTGCAATTAGAAAGTTGTTTTTGAACTATGATTATTAGAAATGGAAACTTCCTTTGATTGATAAAGTAATTAAGAAATCATGCTGACTAAAATCACCATTTTTTATCAAAAAGTGGATTTATATAACTTAAAATATAATGCGATTTTCGTTTCGAATCTCTGCGTACTTGAGCTACAGAGGGTGTAGGTCTC